AAGCAATGCAAGACTTACTTCATGGGCTTCAGCTAGTGGATGGTAGAACAGGGTCTAGAAGAAATAACAAAAAGACAAAACTTATTAAGAGCTACAAGGAGGAGGTGGAAGGCCATGATTGCCTACATCCTGAAGGGACATGGCATATAAAAGAAAGAAGATTTCTGGTACCTCTAGTTGATTTTGTGGTAGGTGTTAATACTGTGGAGGTGTAGAGGTTTATCCCTTGTTTCCTGTTTAGGATTGGGTTTCTAGTTCTTTCTAGAGTCTGCTTCAGCTCTATACACCTAATGCTTGTCCTTTTCTAGGCTAATATAAGTCAACACATTAACCGTCTACCTTGAGTGGCTCTTGGGCCTTTAACAGCAGCAACAACTAAAATGGATATCACATGTAACTTGAAGAGAAAATGATGATATAAGTGAAATGTTGACATTTCACACAAGCAAAAGTTTAAGAAGGAAACCTCCATCAATACTGGGAAGAGCTATAACAGCTACTGGACCTGAAAATAATTGTTTTAAGAGTAAGATTTTATAAATTTCAACCAACAACAGTACTGCCAGCTCAGACACTGACTGCTAAATGTTTCCTTATCAGGAAACTGCTAATATTACCATTGAAATACAGTGTTACTGGATTGCTGGCATATCCATGTGCTCATGGGCTTACAAGAAACTGAAACATGTGGGCACATTTGGGCACTTCTCACCTTGAAGTGTTAAGATGATTGTAACAATATTTTACATGGTGTACAGACGAAAAAGGTTAAACAAATTAATTTTAATTTTTTTGTCAGAAAAGACTTATATTCCCAGGATATGGGAACAGATGTATGAATTTTGTTGAAAAGTTAGACAATGTGATTCAGCTAGACACAGCTGGCAGGTTGGGAGCTAAAGATTAAGGTCGCCTGCTGAAAGATGTCAATGGGAAAATTGTTGGCCAAAATTTCCCTGAGAAAGAAAAAGTAGATGACATCAGAAAGGCTGACATCATATAATGGCTCCTCCCGAAAGAGGATGGGATCTTCCAAAATTGAAAATGTGAAATAGAAAACGAAAGAAAACAACTTGTTTAATTTTAGGAGATTTGCATAAAACCCACCTATTCGCCTGTACCACACCAGTTGGAAGGGACACCCATAAATACAAGTGCACACGGGGCCAAAGTTCGTTGGGGTCAGCCAGTTGAAGGCAGTTAGAGCCAGTTGCAGTCGCAGTAAGGTTGCGACCGGGAGTTAGATTTCTGACACAACGCTGTTTGCCAACCTGATAAAAATAATAATAATAATTATCTGCTGAAGAAAGTTTCCGATGATAAACCTTGTACAAATCACAGTAGTTGAAGATAAAACCAGTTGTCAAGTCTGGCTATCCTTAAGAAGTTACCCGAAATTTTTGTTCCGTCGCCAAATATTAGAACGGGTTGGAAAAACAAGAAAAAGAACAAAGAAAAAACTGTAAATATTTTTTTTTGTTATTTTGACAAAAACATCATATCGTAACTTATTCAGGTGTCATCCATTTTATTTTTCAATTTTGTGTGTGCAAGTTCAACTCTTTGGTTTAGCGTGGTTGAGATACCCCAGTGATAATTCAGCTTGACTCTCTTAAGATCAAAATCACAACGTGGGTAAGAAAGGTCATAGTTGAAGAGGTCAACTTAAAGACCAGCTGCTCTTCAAACACCATCAACGACCGACAAGTGGGCTGAGGGCTTGTTCTCTGATACCAGGATCAATCATGACCAAGCGAGCAGACTGGGATATGACCCTGAATGCCGCCATGACTGGTAGCCGGGGCAGGCCAGGACCCGGAACACTGTCATAGATAATTATTAGCAAACAACATCTGTGTTTATGTCCAAGGATCGATCAATAAGTCCATATACTGGCATGTAGTTATTGCTGAAATTTGATCTAAAATTTTCAGTGTATAATGTTTGGTGTCTATGACTAATATTCATCACTTTGTTCTGTTAAAGAATAAATATTTGTTAGGTAAAAGACAGACTTTTCCCGTTATTGGGCTGCATATTTGTTAAAATACTTTGTTTAATATATTACACACGTCACATTATGATTGAGAAAAAAATCTATCTTTTTTTGCAACAAATTATATATATATATATATATATATATATATATATATATATATATTATATATATTCAGTTGCATGGGTATGAGTTTGTGACTCTGGGTTTCACGCTTTTGTGATTATTTGGCTTCAATTTGTCTGATGATTGCAAACGTGAAACTAAGGGTCACAAACTCATATCCATACAACTGAATATGTTAGCTCTAGCACTGATATTGTGCACTTTCATATAAGTACCATGCATATATATATCTGTGTGTGTGTATATGTAAATGAATATAAAATATTGTACATTGATTGCTGGTGTTAATAAAATAGTGCTCAATGTAATATGCAACTCATGTCGAGGTTCTTGTCAAAATCTAAAAAAAGATCTGCAATGTAATCAATCCTGACTTAGCTCTTTTATAGAACATCAAGTGATGTTCCAATAACACCAGCATTTTATATGCAATTTATTTATTTAAGACTTGGTTGATTGATTGATTTTTTACAGTTTATCAACTTTTTGCAGGTTATTTAAAGTCAGAAAATATTTTTAGAGTGTAAGTTTTTTATTTTTTTTTTTTTTTTTAGATAATGATTTAGTGATACCTGTCTTACTAATTAATCGACAACTGAAATTGGTATTCAGCTCTCCGATTAACAATTCTGAGCCATTATTCATTATATCACTTGCACATTCAAACTTGGATTCCCAAGTGGCCACCCATTTGACCAGGCTTGATAATGCATAATGTTGATGATTGTATGGGAACTGGCGTTTCAATGTGATATGACCATAAGCTAATCAAGACTTGGGTTCAACAAGCGCTAATTATTTGTTCTAAAACCAAATTAAATTCTAAAATTGAATTTATGAAATTTTTAGTTGAAAATAGATACCCTCTGAATATTGCACAATTTCAGGAAAATGAATGACAAAGTGGAAAACCTTTTTTTCTGTTACCTGTTTCATCCTTTAAGACTTCATTGGACTAAAGTGATGTTTACATTAATGTGAATACACATTTACACAAAGGAGATGGGCTACTGAAAATTTAAGACTTTGAAATTTTATTTATTGTATTTTTTTCTTTTAAAGATGTTTGGGTACATAGTCAATCCAATTTCATTTAATTTCTTTTTGTTTAAGTTTTTATTACTTTTGTTATTAAATACCCCACATTGTGATAATAGAAGATCTGCCAAGAAAGGTGAAATGTTGCAAGAACTTGGATGCAAATTTACTATGGATAATCTAGAAATTAAAGCACTTTTTATACATTTTCATCTTAGTAAATTGTTTTGGCTTTCAAAAAAATATAAAAAAATTTTCTCATATTGCACGATCTAACATTTTTGCTAAAAATGTAAAATTAAATGAACCAAAATTGCATGGTCCAGAAAAGTATCCCATCTATTTGAGATTATCTTAGAGTGGCGTGGTTAGCACTTGATTTGCTTGTCAACTCCCTCTAAGTTTTATTTTTCTGCCAAGCCACAGCTTGTTTTCAAATCGTGAAATGAGAGTTATCTTGAATGGCCACTCTTCTAAATCTATTTATATTAATGCAGGGCTTCCCAGAGCTCTATCCTTGAACCTATGTTGTTCCTAATTTTTATAAATGACCTTCCTGATCTCATCAATTCTCAACTGTGTATCTATTCTGATGACAGAACGACTTACTCTTGTTTTAATAGTAAGTTCAATAAGGTCAAATTAACAGCTGATCTAAAAATTACCTACAATCTGTTAACTGGGGCAAGGAATGCCTTGTTAATTTTGATGCTTCCAAACGAAACTGCTCTTTATTAATCATCTGAGAGAACCTTTTCTGCCTTCTCTCAGCACAGCTGATGCTAACCTCCAGGAGAGTGACTTATTGTACCTTATTGGGCTAACGCTTTCTGCTGACATGAAGTAGGAAGATTATATTGAATCAATTGCTAGGTCTGCTGCTAGAAAAGTTGGTTCACGATGTTATGCTAGACATTTTTTTTCTTGCCAGAATCTATTTTATATATTTATAAGTCAACCATTCGTCTTTGCTTTGAATATTGTTGTCACATCTGGTCTGGTACTCCTACTATATATTTAGATATTCTTAATAAAATCAAAAGAATCTGCAATGTTATTGGTCCTAACATAGCATCTTGGCTTCAGTCACTTTCTCACTTCCATAACATAGCATCTCTTTGCTTTTTCTATAAATACCTTCATAATAATTGTTCTAATGAACTTTCTCTATGGTAGCTAAACTTTATAAATTTAAGTGAAATACCAGATTGGCAGCAAGGTCTCATCATTTTACAGTTTTAATGGCTAGATGTAAGCATAAGTTCCATGCTAACAGTTTCTTTTCTCGCAGTTCTCACTTGTGGAACACTCCTCTGGCTTCTTGCTTCCCAGTTAATTTTAATCTTCAAAAATTTAAACACAGTCAATCATTATCTTCTGTCTTCATAATTCCTGTTCTTTTAATGTTTTCACTCCTTAATAATGTTTTTTATTCTCACATTCTCTAACACTCAATAATCCCATGCATCTTAGTGGCCTTATTGCTTTGCCTGGGGTGAAATGATTAAAAAAAATCCCAACCTATGCTGAAATCTATTCATAAAGATGTTCTATGATGTTAGCTGGGTTATTTATGAGCTTAAATGTCAGTGCAATGCTAAATATATTGGCAGGACTAATTGGGGAATTGAAGGAGAGGACTGATCAGCCTGTACCAGCTAAGGTCTGTAGAGGGCAGTATGAAAATTTGCATGTGCTTGTTTATATGTCCAGTACTGTGATTGCAGAACGCTTAATGTCTCCAACCATTTTACTTTATTTTGCAGCATGGGCTTATGGTTTCTTGTTCGTGACTGTGATCAATATTTGTGCTCTGGTTGGTGTGGTTGTGCTACCAATCATGAACACTCGAATTTACAAAAAGGTGTTGCTCTTCTTGGTGGCACTGGCTGTGGGCAGTTTAGCAGGAAGTGGCCTCTTGGTGCTTATTCCTGAGGTAAGTTGCTTTCGTGTATTCATTTTGGAAAACATTATATATAAATGCTATATATCTGACAAATGGTGGCCAATTGAATGAAAAAATGGAAAAAAAAAAATTATATGTGATGAGCCATTATCTACTACACCACCTGCACATCCAAACTTACAGCACCAGGTATTTCCAAGTGGTCACTCATCTAGGTACTGGCCAGATTCAACATTGCTTAACCTCAGTGATTGTATGAGAACTGATGTTTCAACGAGATATGGCCATAAGCCTGGGATTAAAAAAAAAATGTTGTTCACCTCCAAGACAATGCAGGAAAAATGTTTAGAATTTAGCAGGTCTCCCTTACCTGATTCACCATATTCACCTGACCTTGCACTAACCAAACACTTTGATGGGGAAAACTTTCTCTAATGAAAGCCAGATTAAAGAGTTTGTCAAAATCTTTTTCACATCAAAGCCTGCATAATTTTAATCAAAAGTATTGAACAGCAGATGGATAAGTTGTATTTAATGGTGAATATGTAACAGAATGAAACATAACTGTACATTATTGTAGCAATATAAGTCAAGCTTGAGGTCCTGTTAAGCCTAAAAAGGTGGGACATGTTGCACAACACAATACTGAACATTTACTTTTGACTGATGGTTATCAGTAATTGGAGTCAACTTCAAAATACAAGAGCAAGAGGCTTAGACTAATAGAAAGTGACGGAAGGCAAATTAATTACTTCTTTTAGAAGAAGATGACAGGGCAAAGAAAACTGTTGTCTATAAAACTGACCATCCCATGAAAAAGAAAACAGAAGGAACAAAGTGAGCCTTGCAGAAGGACACAGATGATGTACAGTAAACTATGCACATCCCCCCTGACTTACACCTCAACCCTATTTCACATGCTTATAGCAGTAAGTTACTACCTGAGAATAAAATCTGGTTTACTGCTAGAAATTGTTTTGTTCTTCACTCATGGGTAATGATCTTGTCAGCATTAAATAACACATTGAGGTGTTGATATACCATAAAACAAACAATTGTCACAAGATGTGTTTTGTAAGATGGTTTGATACACTACACTTAATTTTATGTTTGCGGTGATTTTATTTAGTTTTCCACTCCAAACTTTTAGCTATAATCTGAGAGATCTAACATGAGTCTTCTTGATAGGCATATCATGCTATGTTCAATATAATTATTTATGAATTTGTTTTGATCAGAAAAACAGTTCTTTAAGGGGCATTTAAATCTCTATATATAAAGTTGTAGCCTCTGTCTGTTTGTTATCAAAGTCCTTAGGGTTTTGGAGATAGACCCACACCTTTATATATTCTGAAACTACATTACCCCGGGTACTTGGATAATTATATTTCATTTTGATCAAAGTGGGTTCTCGGTGGATACAAACCCCCCACTGAAAATTTGTTTCCCTTTAATTTAAATTAAATTTAAATTTGAACAAGGGAATGACTCCTATATAAAATATAGAAAGAGAAAGCCAGAAGATGGAGGTCATATTGGCAATATAAAAATGAGACAATATAGATGTCAAGTTGAGCAAATCACCAATCAGTGGGTAGATATCAATGTTGAAATCTGCTCATCAATTCATTCAATCAAGTATTGCATCAATTATATATTAAAGTGGTTAGATTAAGCTGTTTTTGCACAACCCCCCCACTGAAAATGTTTTTCCCTTTGATTTAAATTAAATTTAAATTTGAACAAGGGAATGACCCCAATCTAAAATATAGAAGGAGAAAGCCAGATGGTGGTCATATCAGCAAGATCATTGAGTAATATTGAAATGCATCATTTTTCTCCACAAATTATAACAATGTTTTAAAAGCAGTCAACATTTTCTTACAAAATGTGTGACATGCAGCAAGGCGTGGGTAATTTGGTTTGTTCATAAATAATATTGGCTATCTGTAATTTGGATATTGTAGGTAAGTTGTTTAGATTAGCTGTTTTAAATTTTTTTATAATTGATAATTATTTTCTTTATAATTTTTCTAAAGGAAAATTTAATCTGGTTATAACTAATATAAACATTAAGATATACAATCAATCTCCATGAATTTACATTCATAATGGAAGCGCTTGGATATATAGAACATTTGGACAGCATTTATACACTTTACCTCCAGAAAAGAAAACATTTATATAAACACAAGAATAATTGAATAAAAAGCTTAATCGCAGTACTTAAGTAAGCCGAAAGCTTAGATTATATTAAAAATAATGGATAAATATTGTGAATTTCTTTCTTCGTTTAATGATAATGTTATCAAACTTATCAGAAGATACGAAAAAATTTTACATAAAATAAATAGACAACACTTGTCTATATTATTTAATGAAACGTGTATAAATGAAAATATGCTGCCTAAATACACACAATTTAAATATACATATATATATATATATATATATATATATATATATATATATATATATATATATATGTATATATAATGAGTTTGTGACCTTGGATTTCATGCTTTTGCAATCATCAGAGAAACTGGTTTATTTTTTAAAATTGGATCTATGCTTGTTTGACTATGTTTGGTGGCGAGGGTGAATCTTGCTTATGTGTTTGTTTTGTGTGTCACCATCATACGCATAGACATATACATACACGTGTACGCATTTTAGCTCACACCAACACATCCATATAAGCAATTCGAGGCTAGGTGCAGATACATATCCATGTGTTCAGGCATACATACATATGCAGTAGCAATAAATAAGCACTACACAAAACACCAAAATAGAATTACAACTGCATATGTATGTACACTTGATTGCACGGATATGTATCGCTGCACCTAGCTTCGAATTGCTTATGTGGATGTGTTGGTGTGAGCTAAAATGCATATACCGGTATGTGTGTGTCTATTCATATGATGGTGCCACCCCAAATAAGCACATAAGCTGATTCCACTTCCTGCCACCAAACATAATCAAACAAGCATGAATAGATCCAATTTCAAAAAATTAAAACAGTTTGTCTGATGATCGCAAAAGCGTGCAACCCTGGGTCACAAACTTATTATGTTAGCTCTTTCACTGATATTGAGTGCTTTCTACTAAGTACTGTGCATATAAAATAATATATCTCCAAGTAATAGGAAAGAATAGTCAGATTCTTTCCTATTACTTGGATATATACATATATATTAGCTCCAAATTAAGGTTGAGCACTGTTAATTTTTATTTTTAAAATAAAAATGTTAATAATAAGGAAAAAATAAATTTCAGGATTTCCCTGAAGAACATTCCAAATACGAACAAAAGGAATTATTTCATCAAATTAATGCAAAGAATAGCGGAATTAATAAGAAGGGTGAGATGGAGAGCATATTTCTTCCTTCGAAAGAATAACTCGTGAAATGAACCTGAAGTTTATGGTTTTAACAGCAAAAAAACAGCACCATTCATTGAAAGGTTGTTTGAATTCAAAATGGATTTATTCAATATAATAAACAACATCTCTTTACACAAAAAGAAAAGTTACTTTCAAAAGCATTTGGATGAAATAGTATAAGGTATTAATGATAGGGATAAAGTTTTAGTGAAATCCAATAAAACTGGAAATTGCTACAAATTTACAGCAAGACCTAATTAAAAAAATTTAACAAGGAACTATAAAAAAGCTAATAATAATAATGTTAATATGGTAAAGAATATAAACAGAACTAGTAAAAGCAACACAGATAAATCATATATTAGTGATAGAGTAGGCAAGCAAAAAAAATTCTAGAAAGGATTACCTGGGATTAACACAGGATAAATACCAAAGAGGTTGCTAAATGGTTTACCGACATTAAAGATAAATCCATTTGTACCCTAATACAGTTTGATATTGAGGATTACTACCCATCAATATCAAGGGATCTTTTCATGACTGCCCTGGTGTTTGCAACTATGTATTCTGACCTAACAGAGGATGAAAAAACATAATTCTCAATGATAAAAAAATTTGTCCTTGTTCATAATGGAGACCAATGGATAAAAAACTCCAAAGACCATTTTGATATCACAATGAGATCATTAGACCCTGCAGAGTCTTCTGACTTTGTCGGTCTATTTATATTATATAATCTAAATGCACATTGTGAAATGGATATTAAAGACATCACACTAAAAAAAGAATAAACAATAATAGTGAAAAATTATGTAATTGTAGAAATCCTGAAAAGTGTCCTCTGAATAAAGAATGCTCCATAGAATCTGTAGTTTACCAATGCACAATCTCATCCATTGAGAATCCAAATGTTGTAAAAATATATAGGATCCACAAAAAATGAATTTAAAATAATGTGGAGACAACACCTAAGTTCCTTCAATAATATTAGGTACCAAAACCAGACATGCCTATCCAAATATTTTTAGCATTTAAGAGAAACAAATAAAACACCAACAGTAAAATAGAAAATAATAAATAGAACAAGAACTTGTAGAACTTTAGATGACACATGTCCTTTATACCTGCATAAAAAGCATTATTAAGTTTCTGAAAAACAAAAATTTATTAAATGAAAGAAATGAAATATTGGTTTTCTGTAGACATTGCCTTATATACTCCCTAAATAATAATTAATTTATAAAGAAAAAACACACACATATTTATATCTATTTTTGATAAAAAAATAATAAAAAATTTATAAGAATTAATTAAATCCTAAATTTTCACAATACCTTATATAGTCTATTAGCAAATTCATTTCACTTTAGACATGTATAAAATTATAAAATTAAAAATATAACTCAGTCAGATCTAAATACCCCTTTAAGGAACTATCAATGTAGTCATATAGAGAAGACAATAAACAAATAAATAAACACCAAAAAATTGTAATGTAAACCTCAATGAGAAGAAAAACAACCAGACAGTAAAAACATGAAAGTCTGATAAAAAATAGTCAGTGTAGCCAGATAGAAATCCTCCACTCAACCTTAAATGATTCCAAAAACTTGACACAAAATAAACATTCCTGCTCTCTTTATTCATAAAAGCCTAAAACCCCTGATAAAAAAATAGGAACTCTCATAAAACCACCATTTCTAACTTACAGAGTAAACAGATTTCTCCGTAAGTTATTTGTTACATTGCTTGAGAATGTGTTATACCTGACATACCTATTCTATTATTAATAGACTCTCCCACACATAATAAGTAGTAGCAGTAGTTTGGCTCAGTGGTCTTGAGCAAGTCAGTCGATATCGGACATTGAAGTACCAACCATTACAACTAGATTGCTGCGTCATTAACTCTTATTTCCAAATTCTTAACGTTTTGTACGTCAAACCCAATTTAGGATGACTTATTGAAATACAAGCCTCCACTGTGAAAACTACTCTACAACATTTGGTGATGAGGGATTCGTAATTCACACGGGAAAAGAAAAATTTTTCGTTTACTTTATTACAACATTGACAATGAGGGATTCATTTCTCAGACGGAGAAAGAAAAAAAAAATCTTTTTGTACACCTAACAACACATTGGCGACAAGGAATTCGTAATTCATACGGAAGTAAATTTTTTCGTTCACTCTATAACAACACACTGGCGACCAGAATTCGAAATTCATCCGAAAAAAAAAATTTTTTAGGAAAAAAAAAAAAATTTTGTTTCGCCATATACAACACTTGGCAACGAACATATTTTGGATTCATACAGAAAAAAAAAAAAACTTTGTGTTCACTCTACAACACTTGTCAATGTGGATTCAGTTTCATACAGTGAAGAAAAAAAAAAAATTCGCTCACCACGTTATTTAGTGACGAAATTCGTGTTTCATACGGAGGAAAAAGGAAAAAAAATTTGCTTGTCAAATTTTCGGCGACAACATCTCGGATTCACATTTTAAAAAAAAAAAACTTGCAAAAGATTTTAGAAAGACAAGACGTCAACTTAGTGACAAAAAAATCAGTCGTATTCTCAACTGAGAAAAAAATTTTTTTTTTTCTCGATAAGACAGTTTGCTCAAATAGGTCACGAATTACAAATTCGTTTTGGACCCCCCTCTACAATATTTAAGCATTGTGTAAACTTTTTGCGAAGATGGAGGAATGCAAAAATATATTCCAGGAACTTTTTAAGTTCCAGATGGAACAACAAAAGACTATATTAGAGCAGCAGAAAACATTCCAGATACAACTTCAGGAGGAAACCTTTAATAGACAGATACAGTTTCAACGAGACATGGAACTGAAGCGTAAGGAGTTTCAAAACAAATTTCTGGAAATAACTGAGAAGAGGAAAGAGAAAAATCTACGAAATGATTCTTTCCCAGAGAATACAATATGGAATTCGATTGAAATATTCACGTACAGTCCAGACGAAGAGATAACTTTTGAAGAATATTTTAAAAAATATACAGACGTGTATAATGAGGACTGCCACACATGGTCTGAAGGAAAGAAGGTTAGACTTCTTTTAAGCAAGTTAGGAACTGCTGAGCATAACAAATTGGTAAAGTACATTTTACCGAAAAAAACTAGCGCGTTGACTTTTACTGAGGCGGTAAATATATTAAGTGAATTATTTAGTAAAAAGACATCTTTGTTTCACAAGAGGTGGAAATGTTTGAATCTGATGAAAGAGGATGAACAAGACTTTATAACGTATGCAGCTAATGTGAACAAGCATTGTGAAGAATTCAAACTAGCAGAATTAAGCGCTGACAATTTTAAGTGCTTAGTATTTGTTCAAGGACTAGTTTCAGAAAGAGACGCAGAATTGAGGAAATTGGTACTTTCAAAATTGGAAAACGAACCGAGGATTTTGGTACAGAGTTTGGCAGAAGACTGCACAAGATATGTTAGCATAAAGAAAGACTCGAAAAAGATAGAACAGTTTGGCATTTCGCATGTAAGGAAAATACGCTATAAAAAAGAAAGTCAGTCTACCAAAAAGAATTCTAAAATTGCAGATTATCAAACAAAAAGTGAAATACCAGAAAAAAATAAACAAAAACTTCCGAAGCCATGTTTTGCTTGCGGTGAACTTCACTGATATTGCAATTTTAGAAATAAAAAATGTTTCAACTGTGAAAGAGTGGGGCATAAAAGCTCGCACTGCAGGTCAAAAAATAAAGACAATAAAATAAGAAAATTAAAGTCTGACGAAGTGAATGACGGAATAACTAGAAAATTTGTTACCGTCGAAATAAGTAATAAAAAAACAAAAATGCAACTCGACACTGGTTCCGACCTATCTATCATAAATTTGAATACATGGAAGAAGTTGGGGAAACCAACTTTAATGAAGACAAATAAAATCGCGAGGTCAGTGACAGGAGAAAAAATACAATTTATTGGAGAATTTGTTACAAACGTCACGTTAAATAAAAAAACACGAAAAGCTAATCTATTTGTCATAGAAAATACCACAAACTTACTTGGTATGGATTGGATAACAGAATTTCAATTATGGGATTTACCAATAAATTCTTTCTGTTACAAGGTTGAAAATTTAAACTGCGAAGCCAAAAAATTACTACAGAAACTTAAGAGAACTTTTCCTACTGTTTTTTCTCCAGGTTTGGGAACATGTACCAAGATTGAGGCAAAATTACAGCCAAAACAAAACACTCAGGCGGTATTCAAAAAGAAAAGGAACGTGCTGTTTGCTTCAATTGAACAGATAGATAAAGATTTGGACAGATTAGAGAAAATCAGTTTATTTATAAATGTGAAATGGGTAACACCTACAATATACGTAAAAAACAAGCTTCAGAAAGTAAAAATTAAGCCGACACCGAAAAAACTGAGGAACCAGTTACCCACAACCAAGGACATGCAGTATTATTAAATGATTTAAGTCAACAAGAACCTACAGAAACTGTGAGACTTAAGAAGTTCAAAGCGGAAGGTTGTTTCTGGTAACTCTTTGGAGATATAAAAAAAAAAAAAAAAATAAAAAAGTGGATTGGCTATATGAGGTACTTGGTGAAAGGGGAAAAACTCACGTGCAGTAAACAGATCAGACGATGTTTTTCAGACGTGGTTGACAGGAGTCCCGTGGGAAAAAAAAAAAAAAAAAATCGACGGGAGTTGATTTTCAATAAGTTTGATCTAACAACCCCTGCAAATAATTTTACCTAAGGTACGCTGATCCAGAAGAAAAAAGAAAGGCAAATGATCATTTAAAATTGGATCAAAAACGTAGGAAATATGTTGCTTAAAAAAAAAAAAAAAATTTTTTGTTGTTTTTTCTTCATATTTGCTGTAAAATTTGAAAAAAAAAAATAAAACTTTTTACTCCTGCAGAGTAAAGTTTTAGTAGGGGATGTTATACCTTATGTACCTATTATATTATTAATAGACTCTCCCACACATAATAAGTAGTAGCAGTAGTAGCAGTCGCCAGTTTGGCTCAGTGGTCTTGAGCGAGTCAGGCGATATCGGACATTGAAGTACCAACCATCACAACTAGATTGCTGCATCATTAACTCTTATTTCCAAGTTCCTAACGTTTTGTACGTCGAACCTAATTTAGGACGACATTGAAATACAAGCCTCCACTGTGAAAACTACTCTACAAGAGAATGAAACCATGCTCTAAATTTTAAGTTTAATTTTGAAATTGGACTTTAGGACTTGAGTTTCAGTTTCAAAACAGTAATTTCTGTGTCATGATGAAGACATATTTTTGAAAAAAAAAAATTATAATATATAAAATATGTTTATATATATATATATACATATATATATATATATATATATGTAATCCCTTTTTCACTGAGTTTAGAATTTTCAGCACCCCTTTTGCATATATCAAACTCCTCTTTGTCTGATATTCAAAAATTAAATATTTTTGTCTTTCTGAAAACAGGCTAGCAGTGTAAATGAAAAGGTGGCTGGGTAAGTAGCAAAGTCTGGATACAATTGTAAAATATTTTTTTTTATTTCTTGGCAGGCGTTCGAAATAGTTGGAACACGTGAAGATAGACATGCCTATTTATGGATGGGAACAACTATCATGTCTGGCGTCTATTTGTTCTTTCTCATAGAAAGATTCCTTAAAATAGTTTTTGAATGGAAAATGGTAAGTAATGACATTAAAATGATTGGCAGTTTTCTAGCCAAAGTGATGCTGGCTTCATTCTGATTCATATGTCTCTCTCTCCAATATTTGTTATAATCCATTTGAAAATGCAATTCATGTTACATAAAACAATCTCTTGCCAAATACTGGTATTGCCAAAAACTTACATTCTGAATTAGAAAGACACTACTTTGAATTGAAGTTAATATATATGTGTGTGTGTGTATATATATATATATATATATATATATATATATATATATATAAAGGCATTGGTTAGATCCAGTGACAGGACCCAAAGAGTGTCAGTTCAATACCCGGTTAAGGCAGTGGAGAACTTTCAGAGGGAAATTAGCAGGAGATAACTGATATCCATCAAACATGGCACATGGAACTAGAACAGTCTACCCCAGTGAGCGAAATAAAGGGTTCAGTTCAAATTTCAACCACCTGAAGAAGGCTGGAGCCTACAACGGTTAAAACGTTGTGATAAATATGGCGACAAAGATGAGGACAATAGTCTGAATAATGTAAATAATATATATATATATATATATATATATATATATATATATATATATATATATATATTATATTCTTATTACTTAAAGCATTATGTTTGAATAAACATCCCTGTTTTTAAACTGTTTGAATTTATGCCTACTGGCCTGTGCATTCTTAAAGTAAATGTACCTTTCAACAGGGTCCAAATCTGTGTCACCCAAAAGGTACAATTTCTTCATTAAGACTCTTGAATACATAGGCCAGTAGACATAAATTTACATTGTTTAAGAAACAGGATGTCTACTCAAACAGCTGTATACCCTAAAGATAACATTTAAAGTAATATGAAATAATGTCAGATTATAAAGAAAATTCATTCTTTAGAACTTAAACACAATATATACATATAATTATATATGTAAAATAATGCTCATTGAGTGCTGGTGTTAATAAAATAGTGCTCAATGTAATATAACAGAGCTATTAAGTATATATTAATAACTAAACATTTTCTTTTTCCTTACTGGTGGCAAAACTCAGAGTGTCATGCACAACTCAATCATCTTTAGTGGTGCTACCAGTGAGGATAAAAATGTATATTTATTAATAAATATTGTATATACTCATGTAACGTGCAATCTTGTGTATTGTGCAAGCCCCAAATTTTCACGTATAAAATATGATTTTATGATGTATCTTATGTATCATATGAATTCCTTTTTGAGAGACCAAATTACAACAGACTAACCTCTTTCCCTCTGTCTCTTTATCCCATCTTCTAGTTAAATAAGTTGGAGAATGATAAAAATATCATTAGTAATGCTATACTTGTTACATAAACATGTCCAGCCATAAACGACTGAATGAGAAACAGCTAAACATCTTACAAAACTTAAACAGTGGAAAAAATGCATATTTGCTGTTTGTATTTTATAACCCAATACTATTATGTGAATATTACATTATTGGATACAGTTAGGTAAAACATCAGTTTTATCAAAATTTACCAGTTTTTGATTACAGTAAATGGATATATAGTTCAGTCAATGGCATAGCCAGGGTCAGCAGTACATACACTAATTTTATATCTTGTGCATGATGAAATCATAAAAATTAGCTTTAAAATTAGATCTTCAAAAGTCACATGAGATATATATATATATATATATATATATATATATATATATATATATATATATATATATATATATATAGAGAGAGAGAGAGAGAGAGAGAGGCATGGTGGAGTAATGGATAGCAGCTTGGATTGAGGAATCGGAGAGCCAAGTTCAAATTCCAGTCGAATCTATTACATTCATTTATGTACTAATACCTTTGGGAAAGGTGTGAATCCTCCTCCTTCTTCTTCCTCCAGCTATTGGTAAATAGCAGGGCAGACTGGGTTCTATAGCCTTGGATGGCAACTGGTCTAGGAGAAGGACAACTCTGAATTCAAAACCTGCAGAGGACCGTTTGGGGATTCTGCGACACGTAGTGCACCAAGTCTCTGTATTCGGCCCTTCAAAAAGTGTGGATGGTTCTGCACAAAACCTTCACCACTATAATCAAATCTCATGTGCTGGTGTCAGGCTGTCAGTTTCCAAGGAACTGATCTACTTGACCCTCATACGTCGAATATATATATATATATATATATATATATATATATACACACACACATGTATGTGTAATTTTAATTAATGTATTCATTTTTAATACAACATTTTTATTACTTCAAATGTTATTATAGTGTATACTTTGTATTTGAAATAGATGCCCTATTTTTAATTATTAAACAATGGGTACTATGTCTATCAACCTTCATATTTGAAAAATCTTAGCAAAGAAAATGCATTCTCAATGTGCTTTACCAATCAGCCATGAAGATCATCTCAGCAAGCAAGGCTCTATTTTGCCTTTTTAAGGAAAGCACATCATTTTCATTCAGATTATTTTCTTGAAAGCTTTATATCTGTTCAGTTTTGTATCAGAAATGTAAACAAAGCAATTTCTAAAGAATTAATGGATTTATTTTTAATCTGGCATTTTTATTACTTTCAACATTGTTATAGTGAATAACAATGTGGTATCTATTTCAAATACAAATTATCTACATTGACCACTAGTGACCTCAGTAATCAACATTACCTATCCTATCATCTTATCCAAGTTACTCCTTCATACTAATTTAGCTCCAAGGATGTAATTGCTTGACTGCAATTATAAATCATTAATTCTACAAATTAACTCTATCCCCAATGATCTCCACACTGCCATTTGTGGAATCAAAAAGCATTATTTTTATTTTGTAGCATACTCAATATCTTAATCCATTTTATTACAAATGTCATACTGTGCCCTTTGATGACTTCTGGTCATCCTAAATGACCTCTGAAGTCAATTTCACATCATATATTTTATGATCTGCAAAAAGTTGTGTTCCAGAAGTTATCTTTTGGGTATGTTGTCCAAACCTACACATACACACACGCACACTTTAGCATATTAATATAGTTAATTGAAAGACAGTTAATAAAATATGTTATACAACATGGTGAAATGCATTTTAACTGAATGTACAGACTTCACCCCTGTAAGACATCAATACTATAAGGAAACCAACATGAGGAAACTATTTGAAAATACTGAAACCATCAACATAATGTTCTAATTTAAAGAAATAGTTTTATACCAAAACATATAACACCTATGATAGAACATTTACAAACTATATATCTATAAAACATGTTAACTCTGAAAGTATAAAATTATGTACAAAATATCTGTAGTTGAGAGCATAAAATTACGTACAAAATATGTAGATTTCTGTATTAAATAACCCATAGAGGTTAATATGCAGCCAAACAAAATCAACCAAGCCAAATATTTAACAAAAGAGAAAAAAAATCAAATTGAAAGAAACCAGTTGAAATAACTCCTAAGCAACACAACCTTTTTGTATGTAATTACTGTATTGTCTTCAATACACTCTGTGTTAAGTTACCAAGCTTTACACCACAATTTACTATGCAATTAAAATTAATAACATCTCATAATCCTTTATGAGAAATAATAAAACTGATTGCTGTCACTGGTTGATTATCACCTTTTGCTAATAATTTTGACATTATGCCAGAGGTAAGCTAATTGTTCTGATCACTAAATATAGTGCTATACGAGGTCCGTTCAAAAAGTATCCAACTTTATTTTTTTCTAGTAAAATTAATGCCACATGAGCAAAATCCTTTGGGTGGGAGATGACACTACCCTTCTTCACATACATGAAAATGTTTGTACCAATAGGCTACATCAGTTCCCGGCTGTTATGCCTAGAGTACAGGCATGTGGTTCACTCTCATCGGATTTTTATTTACATGCAAGATGATGACTGAATGCAATGAGCAGAGATATTGAATCAAGTTTGGTGATACTCTAGATCAAAACATCCAGAAGATTCAGCAGGCCTTTGGCAATGATGCACTGGACAAATCTCAGATCAAGCAGTGGTACAACCACTTCAAAACATAGCTGCACCTCAGTGGAGAGTGAGGTATGCTCAGACAGGTCATCCAAAACTAGAAATGAGGAGCCAATTGAGAAGGTTCAACAAATAGTCATGGAAGACTGTTGTGTAGCAATCCAGGAAATTGCTCACGAAGTCAGAATAAGCACAAGATTGGTGCATTCCATTTTAACAGAGCATTTGTGCATACAGAGAGTGTTAGCAAAATTTGCTCACTCATTCCGCTCCCATAATCCAAGCTTTCCTGGTTAAGAACAGCACACTATTTGTTTGACAGGCTCCCTACACTCCCGACTTGTCACTGTGTGAGTTCTGGCTTTGCCTCAATCTAAAAACCATGCTAAAAGGGAAGCAAATCGAGTTGTAAGAGGAAATTCTGACAAAAGCAATGACAGAGCTCCATAGCATTTCAGAGAAGACATTCCACTAGTCCATTAGTCAGCAATTGTCGAGGTTTATTGTAAATCTCTTTCTCTGAAATTATTCTGCCTAAAAAAATCCGCAACTATCCAGTGAATAGGTCTTTATGTAAACAACTTAATCTCAAGTGATTTTAGAGATATTTTTTTTTATTTTTGCCAGTAAAATAAGGTACTATTGTTATCCTTTTTTCCTAATTTGGCAAATGCTCCTCGTGTTTCCAGAGTCATACCCAGTTATACCAAGTTACCTTCAAGTTAATATTTGCTCAAACCTATCTAATTTCTCTTAACTAAGTATCTTTCTTAATTAGTTCTTTTTCCACATATTATTCCAATAATTATTAAAGGCTGTCAAGTCTTCTCTCAGATTTTTTCCCAGTTCTATATCATAAAATTTGGCTTTTCTATATTGAACTGTTTGTCAGCTACTGTCAAACCTCTTTACAGCTTTGCTCACTTTCACACAAGTGGTTCACCACCCATTTTGTAATAATTCAATAGTAATTAAATCTATATTTATAATTCTCAAAATGTGTGTGTGTGTGTGTGTGTGATCGGTTGTTGTTTGTGTGTTTCTACAGTTTTCATCCAATTTCGATGAAATTTTTTTTGTTTGATAGATAATTCTTCGGTGCCAGTTTTGAGTCCAAATTACACATTCCTCTTCTCTTGGCCAAGCATCCAATCTCTCTTAAGTGAGGTTACCTTTTCCATTGCATAAAGCCTACTACTACAGTTTTAAGGTGTTGCTTTCATTGTCGTTTATAGCCATTCCCAATTTAAATTTTTTATTGTCCTGCCAGTTTTGCATTGCATTCACCGTAGTAATAAGTAAGCTTGCTTTTTTATTACTCAATTTATTTTTCCAATGTTTTCTAAAGTATTTTGAGCTTAGTGATCCCTGTAGCTTTTCAGCGTTCTCTTTTGGTATTTGCCCAAAAATTCCATTTGACAATTCATACTTCCCTAAGACATGCAACCAAAGAAAAGAACTTGCTTAGGTCGCAAAATTGCTGACACCAGGGCCACCATGCGAATAAGAGATAAGAAATTGTGTTTAAAACATTCAATTTGCCTGCCTCAAAATGCCTCTCAGAGTGCTTCAATCAGAGCCACTGATTCCAAAGATCAATGTAGCCATTGGCTTTCCAGATGATCATACCTGAACACTTCTGCACACAAGGCTGAAAATGATGATCAAAGGACTCAACGGCTGAGGAGAAACGCCTCTTCTGCTACTGCTGAACATGAGGCTGAAACAAGATTGAGAATGCAAAAACGGCCCTTTTCTGCACCCCACCATTCAAATTGTTACACCACCACCTCATTTGCCTTAGTTGCACCCAATTGTTGTTACTAATATTGATTTTCAGGTGGGTTGACTAAGCTTAAGCTGCTCCAGTTGAATGGTAAAAATTCCCAGTAATGAAAGACCTGGTTTTAAGCCGGGTTATACTGCTAGTAAAGTTATAACTTGTAAATGTATTTTTTATGTTCATTTTATTTCAGAAAAGGAAGAGTGCTAGTGAAGCTGATTATGACATAATAATGGTAAGCAAACATTTAAATTTTTGAAACCAATTTGGCTGAGAGGATCATTTCTTTGCTGTCTTTCAGCACACACGCGCACACACACACAGGGTGCAATGGATAAATTGTCTAAATTATGAGAATTTACCAAAATTACTCAAAAATATCTTGAAATACTAAAGAGTAAATTTATGCAATAAAATCACTATTGGCTTCAGCCACGGCCTCCAGATGACTTCAAAATCTCCTGCAACTCTTTTGGATGGTCTCCTTGTTTAAGTTGGTGAATGCTTCCATAACCCTTGCCTTCAGTTCATCTTTAGTATTACAAGGAGTTTTTTTTGGTCTCTCACTCAACTGTGCCCCACCCATAATCAAGGTGATTGCAGTCTGGGGAGTTAAGTGTCCAGATGTAAGAGATGATGTGGTCACAGAAATTGTCTGACAGACATGACTGGGTTCTCCGGTTTGTTTGGCATGATGCAGAGTTCTGTTCCCAGACATAGGATCATCCAGCAGCCACTCTCTTGACCCAGGGCGGCACTATCAAGGCACTTGATGTAGGCCTCCATGTCAAGTCTGAGGCCTTGTGAGAAGATGAATGGAGTCCTAACATCACCATCACTCCAAACACCTTTCACATTAGACTTGTCCAACTCTTTCCAAATCCTCTGCATTGTCTAGATTGACACCCAAACATTGTGAAATGTTTGTATTAGAGCTTCCAGTGCAAATGCTAAGCAGTACAGCATGCTGTTCCCAAATTTCTGTTGGAATGAATTGCATCATGGGGCTTTTTTTCTTGTAGATGGTGCCCAGCTGACCCAACTATACTGGGCAGTTTCCAAAATCAAAAACAAACATGCATGCATGAAATTAAAAATATAAAATGTCAACAATTTACCCATTGTACCCTCTATGTGTGTGTGTGTGTGTGTGTATGTGGGCATATATATATATATAACAACCAGATGCTTCCTCTGTAGCTAAAAGTATGTATTTTTAAAATTTCTATTCTCTTGAATTTATTTTCACATCTATAATAAATAAAAGTGTAACTTTAAAAAAAAATGAATATTAAAACAACAAAGCAAATTTAAAAGAATATTAAATATAATTATTTGAAAAATGTTTAATATTTATTTATTCAAATATCTGTGTGTGTGTGTGTATATATATATATATAGCTACAAATGAGATACAGACTTGGCATCACCTAAATGATTGATGTCTGTCTTTATGTGTCTGCATATTATTGACTTATAAATATTTTTCGGACATTTTATGGAAAATGATTTTTTTATTCAATCTTTAAAAAATAAACTTCATTGTTTTTTTGGTTTGTAACTAACATAAAAAGTAAATAATTTACAATTAAGTTTTGTTAAAGCAAAATCTATAGCAAGCCATATTTTTTGAAAATTAATTTAAATAAAATATAGTCAAATTCGTAAAGCAAATATTCAATGCAACTAATGTTGACCATAATTCATGTCTGTCTCTGTTAATTTTTATTTAACTAAACTTTTTTTCTTTTCAAATACAAATATTACTTGAAATTTAAACAATCGTTTTTCAAAACTAAATTCTCAATGTATCTTGCTTCTTCTCTATTTCAAAATAGTTAGTAATTAATGTTTAAAAGTAAAATTTTATTTACTTGAAAAATCTAAATTCCCTTCTAAAATAAATAGTAAATAATTATTTTTTGAAGAAGTAAGGCTCGCTATAAACTTTGTGCTTGAAAAAATGATTAAATTAAATATGTTTAAATATATCTTAATTTAACTATATTTAATTTTTATTAATAATAATTTGAAAAAAGGTTAATGAACTTTTATCTAAATTTGATTTGTTTGAAAACAACATTAATAGAGTATTTCTGTTAGTATTTAATTGGAATAATAAAGTGTCTTTTTGAATAAAAATATGGGGATGCTCAGCCCCCCTGAGACCCCCACCTCATGTATAGTATTGGTAGTGTGGTATTTTTCTAAGTTTAGTTATTTTGTAACAACCTCCCCAAAAAACAATAAAGTTTATTTTTTAAAGATTGAATAAAAAATTATTTTCCATGAGATGGCTGAAAAATATCAATAAATTGTCAATAATAAACTATTTGGAGATCTTCAGAGCAATGTTGGTTGGTTGCTTTTGATATAGAGAGCTTCAAGAATTTGAAGTTTTTCTTTATTATTTTCGTGGTGTAGTATATTGATGTTGTCAACTAGTATTGTCTTGTATTGTGAAGATACTGTACAAAAGAACTTGTATCTGACAAATGAAGTGTAAGATGTATTGATAATGTTGTGGCCGTCAAGCCAACATAATGAAACACACACACACACATATATTATTATGCATATTTCATTGAATATGACAGACAAGCTTGAAACAAGTCCAATTTTTTTCCTGAAGCAGTCAAGAAAGTCTTCTTCCATCTGATGGATATTGCAGTATGAAATACTTACATACTGTATAACAAATAAAAAAATTTGAAAATGAAATATTTTTTCCCAAAATACTTGGTAGGGAAGAGGTTATAGCAAAATACCTAAAAAAGAAATTACAACATGGGAGTGAATATTGGAACTCTGTCTTATGGTTGGATGAGACCAATTTAGAATTATTTGGTCATATAAACCATGCATAGAGAAAATCGAATGAAACTCACAAACCCAAAAATACCCTCCATACAATTAAGCACAGTGGCAGTGACATTATGCTTTGTGGTTATTTTGCTGCTTTTGGACCAGGAGAACTAATGAGAATACAGGGTATCCTTGATAGGGAGTAGTGTTTTGGGTATACTTAAAAATAATATAAAACAAAATGCACAAAAACTGTTTTGAGGTGTCACTGGATGTTCCAACATGACAATGACCCAAAACACACAACACAAATTGTTACAAAAGAGATGACAGTAAAATTAAGGTATTGGTGTCCCCCGCACAAAGTTTTAACCTAAACTACATTGAAAATTTATGAGCTTATTTGAAGAAAAAAGTAACAAACAGAAATTTGGTGGAACTAGAAACTATTGCCAGGTAAGAATGGGTTAAAAAGAGGGTTAATAAATTTATCCTATGTTAAATATTTGTTTGATGTTTTTTGGTATTATTGTTTGAAATAAAATTCTCTTGTCAGCATAACTGCACATTCATTCAAATCTGTTATTTTCCATGAAAATTTGAGGAATTACAGCTTAATTTATAAATAGTTGGTTTGGAGACAAATAATTCTGACATCTACTGTGCGTATGTATGCATGTACATATTGTGTGTATGTGTATATATTTTGTATGCATGTGTACGTATAGTAAATGTGTATGCATATATATATATATATATATATATATATATATATATACTTTTTTCTTTCAGGATAAAAATGAAAACCGCCAAATTGAATGTGCAACAGATGAACTTTCTGACATTGTTTGCTCCGTGAAGTCCAAAACACCAGTTGACCTTGACACAGCCAAAATGAAGGACCCTGCTAATTATCATGCCTCAGCCAGTCAGTGCACATCCCACCTGAGTCGGACAGAGAGTGTAGATTCGGTCCAGGTGAAACTTCAAAAGAAATCGACTCCTGATGATGGCTTGAATGTAAGTTTCAAATGTCAAATAAGTAGAAAGCAACACACTTAAATTTGTCATAATTCTGTGCTTTATCATAGGTTAATCTGCCTTTCTCAAACTTGACCAGTTTACTCGGCTTAGATGTACACATGATTGGTGATGTCAAATGTGCATAAGAAAAAAGATGTCGGCAAAAAACAATGAGTTTTGAGTTTCATAAAATCTATACTCTCAAGCTGCAGGTTTACAAGGCTGCTGCTAGAAAAGTTGGTTCACTGTGTCAGGCTGGACAATTTTTCTCACCAGAATCTAGCTTGCATATTTATAAATCTACCATTTGTATGTGCATTGAATATTGCTGCTAGTTTTGGGTATGATGATAAACTACATCCAGAAATAAAATCTCTTATCGGGAGATTGGCGATTTGAGGAGTATGGAACCACCTCTTAATTGCTGTTGTTCCCAGGTCCATCCTGACCTGGGGTGGCAGTACCTATTAGGGTCCCAGCTATGGGCAAATAGCGACCCCCCCCCAACAAAAACCCTATAAAAGTATAAAAATACATTTTTATAGTAACAATACCAGCAATACACTTTTATATAAAAAAAATGACCAGCAATACATTTTATATGTAGTTGAAGGCATACAATTGTGTTCAAAATATTTAAATATTTGCATTAAATAACTCATAAAGGTTGATATGATGCTAAACAAAACCAAATAACCAACATGAAAGAACTCTTTCTTGACATTAATCAATATAATAACCTACAATTTCTTAAAGAAATCAAACTGTAAACTACAAAACAATAACATAAAACACACATATCACTGCCTCCTAGTAATAATGTCCACACAAACATGCATATGCACAAAAGCTGAGTATCATCTACCATGTATTCAATTGTGAAAGCAGAATAACATATATCATATTTTTATTACTTCAAAGCTCCCAAGAAAATTAAATTTCGGCATTAAATGACCCATGAGTAGTTGATATGCCGTTAAACAAAGAAATCAATCAACCTTCTGTTCAAGCCAGCAAAACATCAACCTGATTTAAGACCTTGGTGCATCAGGCCTTGGTACTTTTCTCTTCAGTACCTATGCTCTATAAATTTAAACGCAGTACTAGATTGGCAACAAGGTCTCTTCATTTTACAATTCAAATGGCTAGATGTAACCATAAGTTCTATGCTAACAGTTTCTTTTTTTGCTTTTTAATGTTTTTTTCTTTTTCTTATTCTCTCACACTCAGTAATCCCTTGTGCCTTAGTGGCTTTATTGCCTTGCTTAGGTGAAATGATTTTTAAAAAAAATTAAATTCTTTGAAATTACAAGTGTTGATTGATAAGTAATGTGTCCAATTCTATAAAAACAAATTTTATGTCAGTTGAAATATTGAACTATCAAAATGAAGGAAATTTATTTCTCTTTAAAATTACACAGGTTAATTGATAAGTAAGGTCTTCAATCCTATAAAATAAGTTTTAAACCAGATAAAATAATAAAAGCTGGTATTAAAATGAAGGAAATTTATTTCTCTTTAAAATTACAAGGGTTGACTGATAAGTAAGGTCTCCAATTCTTTAAAACAACTTTTAGACCAGACAAAATAATGAAACTTATCAAAATAAAGGAAATTTATTTCTCTTCAAAAGTAAGGTCAAGCTACTTATTGCAATATAAATTTTGTTTGTATCTTAATTTATTTTTCTTTTTATTTGATTTCAATTCTAGCTTGATGTCCCTAATGGTTGTTTGCATACAAGATTAGAAGGAAAGAAAAAGAAAACCATCAGGACTGTTGCCTGGATGATTATTTTTGGTGACGGCTTGCACAATTTCATTGATGGTCTTTCCATTGGGGCTGCATTTACAGCAAATATTATGACTGGTGTGAGTGTTTCGGTAGCTGTCATTTGTGAGGAACTGCCACATGAATTAGGTAAGTGAAAACTATAAGTCTATTAGAGAGGATGGAAAGTGTGACACTGAAATCCAAAAGGTACATTGTGATAGCCAAAGGTGCCTTCCAAAAGTTAAGCAAAGTATTAAGAAACAGAAAAATTTCATTGGAAACAAAACAAGTACTGAACTGTTATGTAATATTGGTCCTCCTATATGGCATTGAATGCTGGACAATCTCCTCACAGATGAAGAATCAACAGAAATATGGTTCTACAGTAGCATCAGAAAGAGAGAGTTGAAATTTCTAAGGCACATAATGAAGAAAGAGGACTTGGAAAATTTGACACTCACAGGATTAATACTGAAGGAAAAAGGGAAACAGAGCATAATCTACCTAATGAGCTTATGTAAATGGTTGACAGAACAGTAATTAGAAGAAATAGCAAAAAAAGGACAAACTCAGCTACAAAGGACAAGTAGTTGGGGAGAGCCATGATCACCAATGTCCTGAAATGACACAGCATATAAAGGACAATTCTGAAATATAATTAGGAGAGTAACTTGTAACAATTTAATTCTGACCCATGTCAAATTTGACCAAAAAAATGCTTGGTTGAGAGAAATATATATATATATATTTCTCTCCACTATGAACACTATTAAATTGTTTATTTACACTATTTATTGGAATGATTAGCAAAATCTTGACTAATTGCCAATCAATTTGAATTTTGTAAAATGGTAAATAATAAGGATTTTCTTATAGTTGGTTCACATCTTTTAATAATTTAGTCAATGTTTATAAATTTATGACTAAAAAATTGTTTTCATATTTATTTCTTTATAAGGTTGGTAAATGATAAACATTGCATTAGTCCTAATTGTATTAGTTTTAAGAATGTTGTAAATATAAAATTATTTTTCTAATAAACGAACTAATAAATAAAGATCCAAGATTACCAAAGTTTTGATGGTATGAAACCTAAGTGGCTTGAAGCAGAAATGATTCCTATCCTATCTAAAGGAATTTATGTGGAAGAAGAATGATCCCAGAACTTGAAACATGGATAATTTTCCTGTTTCTGTGTTTTTCCTGGCCTAAACTATCTTTTTCTAAAGAAATTCAGATATATCCATGATTGGGTATAAATCTATAATTGTAACCATAAAATAGGGGCCAAAATTTGCGAGTTAAAATTTATGTCAATTATTGTCTTTAAATGAAGCCAGCTATTCTCTATTGTTTGAGTATGAACTAAAGGTTCATGTAAATCAGCAAAATTATTTTGATGGATTCTAACTTTGTGATTGTATCCCAGATCATTTAGCCTATTATAAATGGACCAACTATTAGTAATGATTGTAGAACCTTGTTCAATATGTCTTCAGATGACTGCTTCTCAACCTATCGGGAACAAATTCTACAAAGTAATTAAATTCTTCAGAATTTCTTTCAATTCTATCAAAGAACCATTTTAGAGTATTAACAAAATTACTTTCATTTTGCATTCAAATTAAGGCCTGTTTTATACTCCCCACCTATTCTAGACTTTTATCCAAGATTGTCTGTCTCTCTCTTTTTTTTTTTTTTTTTTTTTTTCAGGTGAGGGGTTGCTAGGGATTAACCAGTTGTTAAAATACAAATTTAAGGGGCTTATATCCTAATTTGAACACTTCTTTCTTTTCTTTTTTTTTTTATTTATTTTCATTTTGGTATAATGATATATAAATTTTTATATATGAAAAACAGATTTTAGGGAAAGATGTATAGCAAAGTGGAAAAAGGTTTTGTGTGATGCATTTCATTCTTTAGTTAAGTTTATATTTACATTGATGTGGCTACATGTGTGCATGAATGAGAGACACTGAGAATTTCATTTTAAAAGGTGATTTTTATTTTATTTTTATTTTTTTTTTTTAAATATGTGTTTTGGGTATATAATCTAGCTGATTTCATTTAGATTCTTTTTGTTTTTGTTTCCATCACTTTTGTTATTAAATATGCCACATTTTCATAATAGATCTGTCAAGAATTGTGAAACATTGTAAGAACCTGGATGCAAATTTACTGTGGATGATCTAAACATTTTCGTCATAGTGAATTGTTTTCTCTGTTAATTAGAGTAGCATTTTTAAAATCAAAATAGTGGTCATTCTCATTATGATAAGCAAGTAATCCATTCAATGTGTTGTTTTGTAGAAGATACCTTTTGTGTTCATATAATCTTTTATTTAAATTCCTTGTGTTTCCTCTGATGTATTCTTTGTGGCAATTATTATAGGTAATAGAATAAATTCCTCCTTCATGTTAATTAATGCAAAACAATAAGCTAAAGCTTATTGTTTTGCATTAATTAAGACTTTTATTGTTTCAGACATAGTTGTGACAAATTTTATGTTGAGTTTCAATATATTTAAAAAAAATAATCAACTTTTTTTAAATTAAAATTCCCAGCGTCTTTTGTTTGTACACATGTAGCTGCGTCAACGTAAATATAAACTTAGTCCGTTGAAGTCCTAAAAGATGAAGCACGTTACACAAAAACTTTTTCCACTTTGTCATACATATTTTCATTTTATAAGTTCAAATTATTTACAGCTGGACTACCTAGGGATATCTCATCTTACTCTACCCAGAAGATTAAAATGTTGGTTTGTAAATTTGGTGATATAGTAATCGTGAGTTCAATTCTTGGTCAGGGCAGTACAGAATTCTCATTCCAGAAATGACAAAACCTGAGTTTTATGGATCACAAAAATTGAATTTTTTTTTTATTTTTACTTTTATTTTATATTTTATTTATGGAAAAAATGTGATCAGAATATGAAACTAGGTAAAGAAAATAAGAAAGTAGAGTAGAAGCATAAAATGAAAAGGAGAAGGAACAAGAATACTAAACAAATGAGGTGGGAAAGAAGAAATGTATGAAAGAGAAGGCAAAGGATTAAATAAAAGTAAAATGATGAAAAGAGTATACCAGCTACATACAACACAGCCAAATATGCATTGTATGGTGATAGGTTTTGTAAAAGCAGTGCATGAACTGCCATACTGATATACCATATATACTCACATATCATGTGACTTTTGAAGACCTAATTTTGAAGCTAATTTTAAGAGGGTCACATCATACATAAGTTATAAAATTAGCATATGTACTGCTGGCCCTGGCTATGCCGGTGGCTATATATGCATTTACTCTAGTCAAAAAGTACAACTGTATCTATAATTCTCAAAATGTGTTTGTGATTGGATGTTGTTTATGTGTTTCCACAGTTTTCATCCAATTTCGATGAAATTTTTTTTGTTTGATAGATAATTCTTCAGTGCTGGTTTTGAGTTCAAATTGTTGGTGACAATGGCTCCCCACTACTTCCTGTCGATTATAACTCTCAGCAATTCTGGTATTTGTCCATGCATTCCATTTGACAATTCATACTTGCCTAAGACATGTCACCAAAGAAAAGAACTTGCCTAGGTCACAAAAACATTACCACCAGGTCTGCCATGCGAATAAGGGATAACGAACTGTCTTTAGAGCGTTCAGTTCGCCTGTCTCAAAATGCCTCTTGGAATGCTTCAATCAGACCCACGGAGTATGAAGATTAATGTAGCCATCAGCTTTCCAGAAGAGCATACCTGAACGCTTCTGCTGAGGCTGAAAATGATGATCAAAGGACTCAACGGCTGAGGAGAAATGCTTCTTCAACTGCTGCTGTGCATGAGGCTGAAACAAGATTGAGAATGCAAAAACGGCCCTTTTCTGCAACCCCCCACTTCAAATTGTTAACCTCCCATTTGGAGATGTGCCTCAGTTGAACCCAGTTGTAGTTACTAATATTGATTTTCAGGTGGGCTGACTTTAAACTTAAACTGCTCCAAATGAATGGCAAAAATTCCCAGTAATGAAACACCCAGTCAAAGACAGGTTATACTGCTAGTTTAAAATAAACATGGTTTTGATAAAACTGATGTTTTACTTAACTGTATTCAATAATAATGTGTGTAATATTCACATATTAGTATCATATTATAAAATACAAACATAGCGAATATGCATGTTTTCCACTATTTATGCTTATAAGATCTTTAGTTGTTTCTCATTCAGTTATTTATGGCTCTATGTGTTTATGCAACGAGTATAGCGTTACTAACAATGCTTTTATCATTTTATTTGACTAGAAGATGGGATAAGGAGATAGAAGAAAAGAGGTTAGTCTATTGTAATTTTGGTCTCTCAAATAAGAAACTTGCATGATACACAAGATACATGATAAAATCTTTCCCTATAAGTGAAAATTTGGGGGTCACATGATACATGAGATCGCACATTACGTGAGTATATACCGTATATATTTAAATAAAGAGATCAATTATGGCCCAAACACCTTTTGTTGGACTAACATAGTTAATGACATAAGAATTCAGTCATATTTTTGTAAAATCACAAGAGAAATAAAGTAATCCAAAGAAGGTTCTGTAATGTAAGGCAACTGAACTTCAGTCACTTTCTCACTGATATGACATAGCTTCTTTCTGTCTTTTCTACAAATGTTTTCATGACTAGCTTTTTTCCCTGGCATTCCAAATACATAAATTTAAGTGTGTGACTAGACTGGCAACTAGGTCCCACCTGTTACTGTTGAAATAGTTAAATGTAACCGCTACTTCTACACCAACAGTTTCTTTTCTCACACTTCCTGCCTGTGTAACTCTCTTCTGTTTACTTGCTTCCTTGATAATTACAATCTTCAAAAATTTAAATACAACATCAATTGCCATCTTCTGTCTTCTTAAACCCTGTTCATCTTTTGTCCTTCCTTCAATCCTCCCTGTTCTCAGTCTTCTCTTTCACTTTCACTCCCTGTAACCCCTTGCACATTAGTGAAATTCCTGGCTTGTTTGGGTGAAATGATTTTTTTGTTTTTTTTAAAAAGTTAGAAATACCTTCAGTTCGAGTAACCTAGGCCACACAGATGGTCAGCAATTAACAGAATTCCTAAGTATCTATATAGGACCTCCAAGTTGCTGCCTTG